ATGGCCTTTCCAGTTTCCCTGCCCACCTCATATAGGATGGAGACTTTAACAGAGGCCATTTCTGCATGGTGCTAGTTCTAGTTAGTTCTAGCCTCAACTGAGAGTGTAGCTTGCTTTCTTTGTATAAACAACAATCATTTCTGGGAAAGTTCCTGATTTCTTCTGTCAAGATAAAGCAAATTTCATGTGTCAATGTGCTGTCAGTTCTATTCATTCAAATAGGAAAATGGACAAAATATTTAACAGACTATCAAGTTATCCAATGAATACCCATGTAAGCAATCTAGGACCAAAACAGATTCACTTTAAGGACTTAGTGGCTAGATATGGCTTTCATTCATTTTGCTCTACATTAGGCTCAGCTGTCCCAACTGGGATTGGGATGTTCATGTGTGGCACAAGAGTCCTTAACCTTTCCTGTCCACACTCTATGGTTATGCATTTATTCTACAGTAAAAATGAAAGGGAGCCACATAACTGGCCACTACGCTTTTAAACTAACTCTTAGCTCTAAGTTGAGTTAAGTTTATTATCCATGCTTCATATTTGATGCAAGAGAAAGAAGGATGGCCTGGAGAGCTGTGTTGCTGGAAGCCAAAGCCACAATAGGCACAACATAGCCAAGGAAGCTGGAAAGCAAGTGGAACAGTGATGGCTAACCCTGAGAGATTTGGGGGGAAATTTGCTCTGGATCCCCCACAGGCTATACCCCTGCTGCTTTGTCACAGAATTCTATGAACCACTGATCATGAGGAAAAACTCCACCAATTTGCCATCAGTGTTCCTTGGTAAAATACTATGAGAGACTACAGTGTTGTACCATTTGTTCATGTAACTGTTGCACAGAAGTCTGCGGCTGATAGAAGATCCCTTGATGATTGTGTCTGGCACAGCAGAGACAAAGGTCCCCAGGCCTTGGCTCACCGCAGGGTTATTATCATCATGGACTAGCGCAGATGTGGTAGAACCTCTGCTTGCTCAGCTGATGTTGGATTTCAATCTCCATCGGCCCCATCCAACATGAGCAATGGTAATTAGCAAAAGCTGTAACCATCCAGCAACATCTATAGGATCATATGTCATCCAGAGGTTTAAGACTCCAGTGCAGACTAGATTCACAGATTGGATTCATTTTCCAGATGTTCAGTTCATTTTGTCCAGATACATTCATCCTGCTTATTAAAAAATGTGGAGAAGAAAAACAGAGTGGTCTTTCGCTAGGTTTTTTCTCCCTGCTCCCTTACCTTTCTTTTCATCAGGATTCAAAATGCCATTACTCTTCTAATCTGTACTAGCCTGCAAACTGATTTGAGTATGTTATCATATTATTTCATTTCATTCTTTCTGACAACAATCTTAAGAGGCTAATTGAATACATTTCCCATTGTCTCAACTGGGAAGTGAAACTATGTGAAAGGGACTTGCATGAAGTCCCAGGATCCAACTCCTTGCTGCTGCCCTTCTGCCTCCAAAAGTTAGTCAAGTTCAACAATAGCAACAGCAAACAAGAACGACATACAAACAGGGACTTGTAATCAAGTGTTGCGGTATACCCCATTTCCTCTGGGGACTGCTCCTATTCAAGGATCCCTGTATATTCTAGCAACTGCTTATTTAAAATTCAAAAAAAATAAAGGGGGGTGTAAATATAATCTGCTGCTTGCACACTTCCCATGAATGCAGTTGCTTGGGCTTTAGGGAAACACTTTTTGTCATTATCATGAATTTCCAGAGAGGGCAGAATGCCATCTAGCTTCCAAGGATGCTTGCTCATGACAGCATCTCATTGAAAGATAATCAAAGAGGGTTGTCGTTCAGCTGCATAAATCTCTGTGCCTCAGAAAGGATCACCATCCATTTTTAGCAATCATCAGAATGAAGACGGCTGGAACACCGAGATGGTCCTTCGGCAAAGTAATATGTCTCTTAAATGCCTGGTGAATGATGGGATGACAATGAATTGCTGCACTTTTCATATGTAGCTGATGGAGGGGTGTTAAGGCCTGTATTTCCTATTCCTAACAATCTCTCCAGAGCTTAAATACTTACATGGACAAGGACATTAATCAAATATTCCCAATGTGTTATCTAAGATCGACTCTTGCTGAGTCATTGTCAGATGAAAATAGATTGTGTGTTAGTTTTCTTAACCTCCACTACAGTTCTTTTAAAAAGCTGTTGCTGAAGAGATAAATTAGCACATCTAGAAATCCTCTGAGTAATCTTTGTACTAGTATCAAACCAGATAACTCCTTTCCACACTTAAAGACAAAACTTGGTTTTATTCAATAGTGATGAAGAGTAAAACACACAGATAGTATTTTCTGGAGAGTTCACTATCAGATTGTTTTCTCATTTTATCCTTTTATGACAATATGTTACCACAGCAGGTATCTACATTGCTCCAGAGCATGGATAACAGTGTTCTCTTTGTAATGCTTGTAATTGTAATTCCTTTACCATATTAGGATATGGGGTTCAGAGTGGGGATGGAAAGCGTCTGCATGTATGGAAGAAAAATTATTTCAATAAAATGTTGATTTAAAAAATATTGTCTCAGAGTGATGCAGTATAATAATTTCACATTGCCTGAAAAATTAAAAAGATGATGAACACATCAGGATAAAAAAGCATTTTAGAGTAATGAAAAAGGAAGTGGGATTTCCTATGAATCTTATTTATCTATCATATGTTCATATGAGAATGAATGGCACTACCAGTACCCATGAGGAAGGTACCAGAAGGCAGGGTGTGAGGGACGGCAGGTTGCAAAAGCACAAGAAAATGTCCAAATAAGAGGGAGATCTGAAAAGCGTCTATAAAAGAGGGAAGCAGGATAAGAAGGGAAATTTTCCAAACAAAAGCATTCCACTCCAAACATTTTATTACTGATCCCTCTAGTGTTAAATTACTTTTCAGTATGTATATTTTCATGCACTCACATGCACACACACAGTGGCTGGGGTTAACACAACAACAAACCACAGTGGAAGCTATGGTAGCAAGCCTTGATGTTATGTCTGAACTTAGCAACCATGGTTGAAGCACAGTAAGGATAGACTCCATGGAACCACACAGAGAAACTGCAGACTGCTCTACAGTTTCCACACTTCGCCATGGCTTATCTTCTTGTCTGTACCCAGAAACCATGCAGCCGTGCAGTTTCCAGATTCCTTCCATAGAGGTCTGCACAAAGAGCAGCTGCGACTGCAGCAGACACTCCTGCTTGTTCTTGTTGCTGTCAAGGTCTGCCTTGCAGTCAGCAGCACTCTGATTGACTCTCGGTGATCCTTTCTTTCATTTTTCTGTGCACTGCCTTTGGATGCTCACCTGCAGCTTTGGAATTTTGCCAGTATCAGGGCATTGTGTCTCACCACCTCCAGGAGCAGCAACCATGGGGACAGCCATGCCTGGCACCCCTATCTGATTGCTGCACTGAACTGGACTGGAGCTTGGTTATCACACTGTCTTCAGCTCTGCTCTCTTCTGATCTCTTCTGAGGAAAGCTGCCCTGCAGGTGAGGAGCACATGGCCAGTGCATTGGACATCACCAACCGGGTGAGCATCCCAAGGAGCCCATATCCTCTGTGCATGTGGCTGCAGGGGTGGGGGCAAACCCTGGCCATATGTGTGAATTCTGTACACAGAGGAGCATGGACATGTGTGCAGCAGAGGACGATTGATGGGTATGTAGGTGGATATACTTGTATGTTGGCACAGATTAAAGCAGTAATGGGGCATGCTAGTCTAGTGCTACTCCAGAGCAATAGTGTTACTCTATTAAGCAAGCAATTGCTTCACTGAGCAGCAGAAAAACAAACCAACCAAAAAAGGCAGTTGGCTGAAGCCAGACCCAGGAGGCTATGTGGGTCAATGAGGAAGAGCAGGCAATGCAGGCACGAGCAGTGTACTTTGGGATTGGTTTTCAACCATGGGTACTGATGGGATATGTGCCACCATTAGGAGAAAAGTTGTAGGAGGGTGGAAACCACTCACACAGGAAAACCATGTGCCTGTCTGAACCCTGGTCTCAAAGTAAGATGCCATGTGTTTAGTATTAGGTGTGAATGCAGCCAGTGGCTGGGTTCAAACAACATGATAAGCCATGGTGGGCTTTAATCACTGTTGGTCTGCCATGTTGTCCAAACCCAGTCATGGTAAGTCTGGTCTTCAGAAACCTTAGTAAGAAACAATAGCTAGTTCTATGGAGTCTTTGTACTAGTGTGGCTTGTCATGTTATCTGAAACCTGGATCATGGTTTCCACAGTGCTACCAGTTTCCCCTGGAAAGAATGGCAATTGCAGGAGCTGTTCTAGCCATCCAGCTTCTATGTGTGGACCCATGAGGAAGAGGCAGGCAACATAGGAAGGGAGCAATGCATCTTGGGACTGGATTTCAGGCACAGTGGCAGATGGGGTACATGCCAACAACAGGAGGACTGAGCAGGAAGGAAACCATAGTAACACAGAAACCACTTCTGTTGGGCAAATCATCATAAAAACTGAAGCAAAGAAAACATGTGACGATGCTTGTCACTTTGTGTAAACACAGTAAGTCACATTTTTTTGGCTGCATTAGCTCATTTCTGGAATGGCTGCAATCTTCTGTAGAACGAGAGCAGAAAGACAGTTCATATCCTGATAAATGCTTAGCTTAGCATGAGTAAGATGCTGGATTGCTCAGCCTACCATTGTGTGCACCATATAGCAAGGAGCAACAGTGCTGTTCTTGGATAAATCTGCAGTATCAAGCTATGCAGGCAAGGGCAGGGTACTGCAGAAGTCTTTCAAAATAACTACCCACAAGAAATCAAACGAAGAAACCCTTTCTTATAGCATACAACTGAGTACATAGATGTATGCTTCAGCTTTCTAAGGGAAACCTGCATTACTATCTAGTTGTCTCTTCTCCTGAGAGGACATAATAAAACCTATGGGGAGATTCCATAAATTTCCCTATTGTTGGCTTCAACAAGGACAAACAGGATTTCCAAAGTAATGCTGGTGTGTAGTTGTTGTTTATTCTGGTTAGATATAAGTGCAACAAGTCACTTTCAGAACAAACACAATATGGTTTTAAATGCCTGCTGCATCTATTCACAGATAACAGCAGGAAAACACTTACAATTCTGGCAACAAGAGTAAACAAGCATTTTGGCTAAATGTATTCACTGTATCCTGTGATTAAATAAGTGCACAGGAAACCAAGTTGAATGGCCGCCTCTTTTACTAGCAATATAAACAGAGCATTTGCTTTGTGATATCAAAGATATTGCAGTTTTTTCCTCTATACCTGCCTTGTGAACATATTATAATATCTGGAATAGTAGTCAAAAATAAGAGTGCAGTGTATGGCATACAGTATACTGAAAAAAGAATAATGTGCTAGGCTTTTGAAGAAAAGAGTTGGTTTATTTAACACTACGCACCCATATATCTTGAGGTCTAGGCCATGTGCAGTTCTCTTCTCTGAATATTTTTCTCTCGTTTTGCTTTCATTCTTTCACTCAGACTCTTGTAGTTAGACACATGCTTTGCATGTAGAAAGACCGAAGTTCAATCCCAGGTATCTCTATGTAGGGTTAGGAACAACTCGCATCTGAAAACCTAGAGCAGGGTGAAGAAGCTGCTCATTCCAGTGGAAGGCAAGTCTGGAGGCAAGAGTCTTGGACAAAGGCAATGGGGTCTTCGTCAGTCAATTGCACTGTAGAAGGTGACTGTTTATCCTTCTGATATTATACCATCAGTCTTTCAGTTGCCAAAAGGGCAGAGAATTTTTCCTTCCATTTGTTCACTTTCATGAAGTAGGCAAATAATTTAAGAGTGTGTACACCAGTGAATATTAAAGACAAAATTCATGTGCATTACCTCCTTCTGAAAAGAAGCAACTTTTGGAGATCATCGAACATAGCATTCACTGTATTACATCACCATCAACCCTTTATTATAAAGATGCTGTAGGGTCAAATATTTTTTAAAATCCTATTTTGCTAAATAAAATGCAGCCTAAGATAGGCATATGCCAAACAGCAATCCATGCAATCCATACTTATGCATTTTGAGGCCACAACAATCCCTCAAATTCCTAGGTTTGTCTATCAACCCAAAACTGTTAGGGACTCCAGCTGTACACACTCACCTGGCTGTAAATTCTATTGAACTGACTTTGACTTAGTTCTGAGTGCATAAGATCATGCTGGAAATACCCTAAGCCTCGTACTGGAAATATCCTAAGCCCTTAATTTGTAAAAGATATGTCATCATCATGGTGGTGTTGGTGGTGGTAGATTCCACATTTGACAAGTATGATGTTTGCAAATAGCCAAATCTGTTTTGTTCCATGTCAAAACTAATAATAATTAAATAAATTGTCTCATGATATAACATGAGTTTAAAATTATTAACATTGTTCAAAAGCACCACTGACTATTTAAAATTACCAGGATACATTTATCAGCGAATGAAATTGTCTTATGAGCTATCAGTCATCATAGCTATATATATCAATACATTCCCATAATTTTTCAAATTGTAAGGATAATATGAAGTGACCAGCTGAGGCAACAGATGATGGGGATGAGAAACAGCAGTGAGATGTTGAAGGGCAAAGATATGTGTGCCAAGCAAACTGCCTTGTTTCCCATGAGCTTAGTGCTGACCTCAGGTATGTTGGAGAAAGCCACCTTCCTCTGGTCTTGAAATGATCCAGTGATCTTGAGTCATTGAAGATGCTACTGAACATTTGAAAACAGAGTATAGTTCTGACAGGAATGGGACTCCTATTCATTTCATTAAAATAACTTATACTAGCCTTTTCAGCCTGAGATTGAATAAGCCTTGCTACAAAGCAGGGGTGCTAAAACTTCATCCCAAGTGCTGTATGAAGGACCATTCACATTGGAAGTGGGCCAGAATATCAGTGTGGTTGTTTGTTTATCTATTCGGTAAACTCCTGAGAGCAGTTCTTTGAATACTCCTACTTGGTGCTTCAGACAAAAACAGGCAGAAGGGTTCTGTACTGGATGCTTAAATCAAAGTAAATGCGTTTAAGAAGTATGACCTACAGATACTTTGAAAGTATTTTCAGCTTAATTTCCGTATGTGTGAGAAAGAATCTATCATGGTTTAATTTAGAGTAGGCATGCAGCTTTCAAAATCCATGTTTTCAATGATCTGGGCAGGGAATGAGAAATAATTTTGCAATCTTCCCAGCCCCTGCAGGCATGACAAAAGCTTACACATTTTCAGACTGAGAGAACTTATCAGGAAAGGTAGGTACATCTCTATTTTTGTTGCTTTTAACTGAATGTTTCCCAAGTACGGGAAGAAGCTGTGAGGAAATGCAGCCAGTTGGACAGCCATATTTTCCCACAATGCCATTAAAAGAATATTACAATATGAGTTCAGGCCACATCAGGTAAGGGTTAAACAACCAGGCACACATGCATGTATTGCCACCCATGGTGCATCAGCACCCTCCAGGACCAGCAGGTACATCCATCAGATCCCACTGCTGCTGCTTTCTGCTTCTACCACTGGTGTTTTCCTCTACCTGCCACCACAAATTTCCCCCACCCTGCTGCCAATTTCCTCTGCCTACTGCCCTGACAAAAGAGACAGAAGCAGGAGCAGGTGAATGCAGCAGCTGTGCTTTAATGGAAAGGGGAAATGAGAGAAAACATTGGGAGGAGGATAGGAGAGGGAAGGTGAGCGTGGCAGTGATGGGAAAAAACTTCAGGCAGGATAAGGAGAATATGGCAGTCATGGTGGCTGCAGCAGGGAGAAGGAGGGAAGAGGAGAAAGAAGCAGAATTGCTGGTACAGCAGCAAGGAAGGGGCTTTGGAAGGCTAGGACTGAAAAAGTGTGCTCACTCCCTGCCCCACAACAGCAATTTATGGCTTTTTCAAAAAGCCATATATGTTTCTGGCCCTGAAAGGATGACCTCTTTTGCTGCAGATGCATTGAGGAAGACAAGATGGCAGCCCCCATTACGCTTTCCAAAAATGCTGTTGTACTGGCCCTAGATTTCCTGGTAAGTTCACCTTTCTGTGAAAATGCACGCACTTCCAGCAGCCACTCTGTATATGTCAGTGACATACCCAGTGTGTGTGTGTCTGGTGCTATGTAAATGAAAGGACATTTTTCTCATTATATGCTTAGTTATTGTTTGAGGGATGCTGGAGAAGTTCAGGGGGGCAAAAAAATTTCTCCATTTGGGCTGGGAGTCATAAGTTGATCCTCTTTCCCCTTTTGTTTTGTTTATCTCTAAAGCATGAAATGGAACATTTGCCTGATGTCATGTTTCAGGCAAATTTCAGGAATCATGGTCACAGGAGCAAAGCTTAAGGAAGGAGGAGCAACAGGGCTGCAGCCAAGGTTTCCAGAGGATATTCGCCAGTGAAAACTGGTTGGAAACAACAGTTAGTGTCTTGGTGTGGGTCCTCACTGCTTCTTGAATGGCCTGAAGGATTTCATAGAAGCCACTCTCTGTTTCTGGACTGAGTGGGTGCTTTTCTTCAGGGTCCACGGAAAGATCAAAAAGCAAAGGTGGTTCGTGGTATGTGACAAAATTTCCATGACAAAAACACACATGAGAATCATAGCAGCCATTTGAGCCCTCTGGACTGAAATTTGGAGTAAAAAAAAATGCCTTCCAAATCGATTTACCTATAAGCATAGGGAAAAAAGCAAACAAACAGCTGAGAAATGTGAACAATCTAAAGCATACATGCGTATATTAGTTATTTCTGTAAGTTGGAGTATGTCGCCACAGCATTGTCGAAGGAATTGCCAACTCAGTATTCCAACAACAACCCAGTAATTCTTAGTATAAATCTGGAGAATTTGGTTATATCTTATTTTTTACTGTGGCTGTACAGCAGATTCCTGAAGCAAGTTATGCTGGCCTTTTTGAACATCTGCTCTCACATAATACTTCTCAGAAAGAATAAAGGTATTTCAATAGTGATGCCTCTCGGGAGGCTTGTTCACTCATTCCATCCCCAAAGTGTACACTTCATACATGTATAGCTTTTCCTGTACAGACACTGTGGACCAAATACAGCTTAGGCATTGGCGGTTCCATGGCTGGGCATACCCCTGCTTGTACCCCTGCACATAAGGCTTAATGAGCCCACAGCCTTCTAGGAATGCTGCTGGTACTCCTAAAGCTCAACTCAGATATAAAGCAAACAGTACCAGCTCAGTGGTTTTCAGTAGCTGGGATTGTAATTGGAACCAATGAAGAATTAGAGCTCAGCCACCATCGAAACATCTCTCACACACTCAACTTTCTTTCCCCCATCCAACCACTGATTCATTTCCCCTTTCTTTCTGTCCTACTTACCTGGCTACTGGGCTAATGCCTGGACACCAGCAGTAATTGGCAGCACTCAGAAGTTCAGGGGACAGCTGCAAATGTAGATTTTCTCAAGGGTTACTGACCCTTGCTGCCAGGAGGCAGCTGCATTAAAAAAGGTGAGTGGGCTTTGTTTCATGAAAACTTAGTTTTGAAAGCTGCCACTCATTCATGCTGAACAGTGTTTTTTCTAGATAATGTTCTGCTCAGCTCTACTTCTGTCATCTGACAGTTCTCTTGCTTGTTCACACAATCACATCCCAGCACCCTTAAACCCATCTGCCCCACTGAGAATCACACATCTATCATCGATACTTCTGAATATCCCATTTTAATTTAAAATGACAGCCACCCCAATTTCCTGAAGCACTATTTCAGTGCTTTAAAATCCCAAAGAACAAGGTTACTTGTAGAAACTACCAGTCTAGGAACCAAGAATTGGATTATGCTACCGGTGCTACTTCTCATATACATGTGATTTGCCATTTGTTTAGGGTATATACAAAAATTGGCCCTTCCAAATACTTCAGGAGTGAATGTAGAGAGGGAAGGAGAAAGAGGGGGTGAAGGGGCCAGAGCAAGATGAGGTTTCTATATCAACCTGGCTCATGCATTTGAGTCACCTTTGGAGATTCTTTTCAAATTATTCATCACCAAAGTAAGTGATAAAAAGTGAATGAGTGAAATCAGACCTACTTGGCTGAGTCACTTCATCGATGGAATTTCTTCCACCAACATATGAAAATATTTATCAGGTGAAGATATAGGTAAAGATATATAAATTTTCCCAGGTTTTTAGTGTAGCGTTATTTTAGTATGCTGTAGTGATTATATTTTAACCCTGTTTTGTAACTTGTCTTGGAAGCAAGATGCAAATATAATAGTGTACACTAACTAAAACAAAGGATTCTTAAGTATTTAAACTACTAACACTACTAGGAACAGCCCTGTGTTTATTCTTCCCCTTTCCCAACAGATGTATCCCCTCCCTCTATACTGGAACCCATTGCTAACTGCCATGTCAGAAAATTTCCTGAAAAGAGAGAGGACAGGTAAGCAGAGTGTCAGTTGCCTGTCCCTGTTAAACCTAGACTATTCACTCCCCCTGAAGAAAATCCTGGGCCCAGTCCCTGAAGCCCTGGAGAACTGCTACCAGCAGGGACATCAGAGGAATACACAACAGGTTTGAATCAGTTTGGATTTTATGATTGTGCAATGTGGATTCTTCAGCAGACCAATTATTTTCAAGTTGGACAAATTCCATGTTCATGTGTAATTAACACAAATGCATGTAAGTGGTAATAGACCCTTGCACAAGTTAAACAAAATTCTTACGAGGAAGAAAAGGAAAATCTGATTCCAGCAACAAAGAACAGAATGGAACAAAAGATGTCTGACAACCTGCAGAATAGATTTAACACTGTACACCATTAACTGCCAGTCATGGTAGAGAACGCTGAGATAGATGGACTTGATATAAAGCTTGAAAGATCCAACTTGATACAAGACACCTTCATCTGTTTGTAAGCATTGTGTTGATTTTTAAAATATGGCTTATTGTGATTTTATTAGTGACTTCTGATATTAATTTTAGGCTATCTGGGAAGAAATTGGATCCTAAGAGGTGAGATATAAATCACTGTAAGCTAAAAGTAAAGCAATATATGGAACTGCTCATGATTTGTACACTGGCTGGCTTTTAAAAAAATACAGTGGATATATTTAAAGAGTTAATTCTATAAGACACATTTTCTATCATACATCATTGAGTTGGAAAAGTTATTCAGTGACAAATGGACAGAGTTTGGAAATTTCTAGCTGACTTAACACTGGACCGTCACTCAGTAATCAAGGTCCTGTGGGTGAATGTACAACAGCAGATGGGGGAACAAAAGCCCTCTGGATGTTGCTTAGGTCTCTGCAAATGCAGAGCAACACTGCAGCTGAATTGCCTGGACAGACAATAAATCACACCTTCAAAGTCCTAAGGGGGCACTATCTTTAACTGCAGACAGTGACATATGTACAGGTTGCATGTGTTGCCTGAGTGGAAGAAACACAGCTAGCCTTCTATACTGTTCTACACTTCTGAAAGAGCATGTGAGGCCATTTACAAGGACTATTGGGTACTCTAAATGTTGTGATTTTTTCATAGAAGGGAATGCTAGAAGCATGGCAAAAGCGGAAAAGGAAGCTGTATGGAAAATGGTCACGTTGCTTCAAGCCTCTGTGTAAGGTATGTAGAAATCAGTGAAGCAAGATTAATGTTTTGTCTTGTTTGAATAACAAGAAAAAACTAGACAGTGTTCCAGAGACAGAGAAAGTCCTGTGCATGCACATACCAGATAGATGATTCAATTGCTGGTCAGTACTTATATGAGGGCCACATTCCTTCATGGGTAATCTGTCAGGGGCCACGTGCAGACATGGGTGGAAGCCAGTGATAGTCAAGGCAAAGTAAAAAATGAGTGCGTCATTCCTTTCCTTTTCCCTTCCTGTTTCACCTGCCTTTCTTTCTCTCCTTCTTCCTTACCACCCTGGAGACTGCCAGGGTGAAGGTCTGAACTGAGGACATGGAGAAAATAGACTGAGCGTTTGCTTCCCACCACTGGCCTACCGGGTGTGTTAGTCTTAATGTAGCCTTGGACAGTTGACTTTTCTGTAGGGATATTTGGAGTTTGAGAAATCTGTTCTGTGTTTCACAGATTTTCAAATGTAGTTTGTTCATTGACAGAATCAGATTTTTATTTTTATTTTTTTTGAGTTGCGGGGAGGGATGTATGAGAACTGTAGCACAGCTGCACCTGCACACCCAGCCCAATTTAAACACTGGCATGTAAATCCACACAAGTCAGAAGAAAGCTAGTCTTCTATGGAAACTGCACTGGAGGAGGTTATCAGTGGCTACTGGCCTTGTTGGCTATGTGCTGTTGCCTTTACCAGAGGTGGCACATCCACCTACACCAGTTGCTGAGCAGTTTCAGCACAAGGAGCTCTTGCATCCATCCTGCTTGAGGGATCCTACAGGCAGCTGGTTTGCCACCATGTGTACTGAGTGCTGGAATTGATGGACCTTTGGTCTGATGCGGCATGGCTTTTTTATGTTCTTATGGGCACAGATCTATCTGTCAAGCTTCTAACGATCTAAATACTTTGTTCCATACAATACATTATTTTCAAGATCCAGACAAGTAACTGGTTGAATAATATCATACCATCTAACTCTTCACAGTATCTCCCACTTCATTAGGGAAAAGAAGAAGTCACATCAAGTGCATGGCTGTATGCACTGTGCTCTTTGCTGATTTCAGTGTGCATATGATTTGTTTAAAAGATTTGTTATTGATATTGCAGAAAATTTTGGTCTTAATTTCATTTTTTTTAAACTCCTACTAGATTGATTCTTATCCCAGAAGACTTCACATGTTAATCCACCAAAATCATGCTTGATTCAGTTTTGTTTTTATCATTTCCCTTCTGGCAATCTAGTTATTCAATTCCTTCTTGAACTTTGTAAGATATCTTCACTCAGAGGGAGCATGTATCTTAGCAATCTTTCTCTTGTGACCTTAGGATGTTTTGTCCACATCTCTCCATCTATAGCATATCTATAGCATATTTAGCTGAAAAGCACCAGAGATCAAAGGAGGGAAATGTTTCATGTAATGTTAAGAGTTTTGGTTTAGAAATACAATGACTTAAAAATGCTTAGAAAGAGGAATAGAAATAGAGATTTACCAATGTAAGCGAACAGTGCTTGCTTGAAATTCTGAGCTTTCTCTTTCTTTGCATTTTCCAGAACTAGACAGTGGTGAAATATACCAAGCACACTCTTAAGTGGAGATAAAGAAAACAGCCAAGATTAAATCAAGCTTCATAAGGGAGTCAAGCAGGTAGACAGGAAGCATGATAAAGAATCAGAGAAACTGTTTTAGAAAGTTGCTGAGGCTAGTATCAAACAAAGTAAGATAGGACCTTGACTCTGAATTTGCCGGAGATGGCAGCGGGGGGGGGGGGGGCAACACTCTACTGTTCCTTAGCAGTGTCATAATGCTTCACTGCATTGTGTGATTGTGGAATACTGCTGTGACAACAGCAATGAAGCATTAATAGTGGCCTTTCTAATCATTATAGAAAAGTAAAATGCATTAGTTAGATGTTGCATTAGTGGAATGACCGACATAATACTCTGTCAAGACACAAAGAGCTGTCAGAGTAGTAATCTGTAAATTTGATGAACTGTTCTAAGGCTGGTCATTAAAAGGAAGACTGCTCTCTGTACCTCTCCCAGCTGGTATATAATCTCATT